GCAAAGTGAGTTGTGTCGTGTCAAACTTTTATGCTGCCGTTATGCAAATTTCCACGATCGGAATTATTCATGGATTTTCCAACGGCCCCATGTGTTCGCGTAAACGTCAGTCAGTCTTCTGACGCCAGCGTTTTCGGTCAATCTATAGAATTCTCGTTTTTTATTGTAATCTGTCTTCATCGCATGGAGCTGAATTAGGAACACTGGCAGCAGTTTTGGATCATGCGCGTTTAGAGATCGGCTGCACTTTGAGTCATTCTCAATTTTTTTGGAGATACCGAAGAACTTACAGTCATCAAATTTTCTTTGTTAGCAGTCTAATTGCAGCCGATTTTGAGCTTGAGAACGCTTTAGAATTCCTATATTTGTGAAAAGAATATAGGTCTCAGTAAGCTTCCGCATGTTCACGTGGTTATCTTATGACCGTACAAAAACTACCTTTCTTGCGTAAAACTAACATCTGTTGTTCGGCTATCGCTAGCTAAGAATTTTCTGCAGTCATTTCCGCATTCGTTGATGCGAAACGTATGTTTTTGTAGAAATTCTTCGCTAGGGGGATTTATTAGCAAGGAACTTCCATGAGGGCCCTCAAAATTGCTTATGAGCAGGGTAGAATCGGTGTAAGTAAAATTTTATTATTTCCGGGAGATTTTTTGTGGAAATGGACAAATCACATGGTTTTGAGAGATTTTTGACAAGAAAGTTCATGTGCTTTTGAGACTTTTATCAGCAAAACTAGATAATCTCCTTTCTTCTCTATGCGAAGTCTCGATCATTTACTTGTGGACCTTGTTACTACTAGTTGTTTATATGAAAAGGCTCCAGCTTCCTTGATTTTGGGCGAGAACTGGTCCTCGCTTTGTGGTCATCAAACAAATACTGACTAGATTGAACCCGTCAGATTTTGATTAGTAGCGCTTATCAAGCTCATGTCTTTCATTCCTGCTCGTCATAGTTTTATCCTATTGCTAAAAGAATCAAAGACCACTTTACACTATCGTTCAGTGCTTTTTACATTCTTGGTTCACGACGGTAGTTATACTCTATTAAAAACTTGCAGTGCTGCTACAATACGTCTTGACTATTTTCTACAAATTATATATTGACAAGATTTTTTTCGTGCCTTTTTCACTTACCTTTCATCATACAAATTTTGGCTCATCACAAATGTCAAAAACGAGTTTTTTTCTTACTCAAGTATTGTTATTCCCATCGGTTCCTAATTGGCAAGGGATTCGCCCAGCACACTTTCGCAATTAGCCAACCCGTCTTGATTTTTCCGTAATTTTTCTGCGTGAGTTGCAGAATAGCAGGAACTTTATCTCTTTTATATTAAGTGGGTCCAAAAGTTCGTGTGCTGTTTTTCAGACCTATTCAGAAATCATTCAGAATAACGATAGACAAACACTACAAGCACTGTATGCAGAATTTCTTTCTCTTTTCAGCAGCAATGTTTTTGTTCTGATTCCTTCAATGTTCTTTCGAATAATCGCCACAACCTCCAACCTATGCATTAAGTACCTTAACTTAAACTAGTTTTTGAAATTTTCGTTTTAAACTTTCGAAAAAGCTTTGATTACAGTTGGACAGAGTAAACAAATGTTACAAAATCCAGTTTTTTGGCATCGATAGCTGCCTTTTCAATATTCTCAAAAACAAGTCTAAAAGTTTTCACATTTGCGAAGTTGTAAAGTATAAAAACTGCTCAAACGCTCTCAAACCTTCGCAAATTGAAACTACCAAAAATTGATAATGATTGAACACTTTCTAACAAACAAGTGAGTTTCTACCGCCTCAAAATATTTTTTTTTGAAATTTTCGGGTGCAATCTGGGCCGCATCAAAAAACTAGAATTATGGCATTTTTTTTTCTCGAGGCCTTTACAAATCGGAAAGGAATAACATCTATGAAAACAAGGAGAGAAGCTGTTTCGAATGACACCCTAGCTGTTTGATGGTATTCTACGAGTGGGATAAAAAAATCAAATCTGTTAGCATAAGAATGATAATTTTAGAAAATTTGAAAAGCCAGCTATTGATGCCAAAAATTGTATCGCATTGCATTTTGCTTACTCTATCCAACAATTATTAAATCAGTTCCAAAAGTTCGGGATGAAAATTTAGAAAAATAGCAAAACTTAGGGTAGATAATAACCCTTGATTCAACTGGCTTGGCAGCTGGAAGGCGACGCATTGTGACCTAGTTGAGGCCGCTCGCGTTCGCGACGCAGTCTGCTCTCTTTTGCGCGCGTGCTCTCTGATTACTATTCTAACCTTAATTAGGTCACGAAGCTCCGCCTTCCAGCCGCCAAGCCGGTTGAATCAAAGGATAAAAAACATTGTTTGAAGATCCTGATGATTTTTCAAGCCAATCAAAAGAATCTGAACAAAAACGCTACAGCTGGAAAGAGGAAGAAATTCTGCATAGAACGCTTCTTAGAATGTTTGTCTATGTTTATTCTGAATGATTTGAGGGTAGGTCCAAAAAACGGCACGAACTTTTGGACCCCACTCAATACTTTGCACGTTTCCTGCAGATAAGATGCCTTTGCATGATGTAAGCCATTCATATAAATGACGTGGAAACCATGTGTCTTGCTGTGTAAACCCAGATTAATCATTGTCTTTTGTGATCAACAGCAATTCTCTTTCCCCTTCCTATGTTCCCTTCGAATTGTGCAAATGGCCGCCCACGAGAAGAAAAAGATAGAGAGTTATCATAAAGTTATGGGACGATAAATTCGCGTTAAAATATAATTTTAGTAAATGCATTAGCTGCCAACCGTCGCAGATATGACGTGGGGAGTAAAATTCATATCTTAAACTTTTCCTTGAGGATCCGATTGCACCTAAATGTAGGAAATCTTCTGAAACATAGTAATTTGATAGCTCTCAGGCGTTGATGATATGACGTAAAAACTTTTTTTTTGGAATTTTCTGGAAAGGATGGAGATATCCGACTTTGTCAAGACTAGTTTCTATTAGACGTTGTGATTTAGATATTGCGCGCTGGACTTGGGATGTTCGAAAGGTTGTTCATGAGAAGAAGTTAACTTGAAAAATATGAGAAAAGTCTTAGCATTTTTTTCGAATTTTCATATTCTAGGCAGGAGAGCTCAATATCCAAATTTCGGGCAGGCGAAACGATTTTAGAGTATCATGTGATTTTTTACTATTTTTTTTTATTATATCACATTTTAATCATTTATTTTACATATACCTTTTACCCACGCCTAAATTTTCAACTAACAGGGGAAGGATACTTGGATGCCGTAGCCATTCATAATGATTTGTATACCAAAAAATGCGCTTTCGAATGCTGGTTCGTAGACTGTCTTTCATATCTGCGAAACGATAATCTGAATGGAGTTATGATTTTTCTCATTTAAAAAATTGCGTTCCTGCGGAGGGTCAAAATCATCAATAAAAAAATTTTCTCTCCTTTCCAAATGCTAAGTATGATCCAAATAGTCTAGATAAATATTACTACGTCTATAATTTTCTTCAGTAGCATCAAACGGTAGGCTAGATCAAATCTGGTGATTTTTACTATCCAAAAGTAGGCTAAATTTTCAAGGAAAAAAAGTTCATAGCTTTCTTCAAAAGATCGTTTCGCAGATTTCGAGCACAGATTCAGAATCTGCATTCGAAGGCGCATTTTTTGGTATACAAATCATTAGGAATGGCCGCGGCATCCAACTATCCTTCCCTTGTAAGGCGCAAAACTAATATGTGAATTACCACGCAAATGCATGAAAAAAGTGAAATTTCTTATTCAAGCGTAGGAAAATGTATTCTGATTTGGTTGGAAAATGTGTGCTTTCTTGAAATGCGTGAGAATTTGTAGGTTGCTATGTCTTTTTCTTACTTCGTTCACTTTTTCATTTGCTTGCTTGCTTCGATGTGAATTGGTAAATAGAGGAAGTTATTAGAAAGCGTGGGAAGTCTTTTCGAGGTTTTAGTAGAGATTATTCGAGAAAATTCTTAAAGTAGCTTAAGTGCAGCGTAGTTCTGCAGTATGGAACAAGTTTGCCTGGAAAGTGAAGTATATACTTTCATGTTTTGAGTAACAAAACATACGTTATGCCTTTCAAAATTGCAAAATTTTTCGAAATTACCTGTTTTTGCGTGGCATAACGTATAATTGCACGTGGCAAAAGTATGATTGTCGGCAATCAAAAGAATATTATGAGAGTGAATCTTCCTCCTGCTCATTGTACTTCCGCCGTCTTTCTCGAGAACTGTAATTTTACAAAATTTTCCAACTGATCCAAAAATTCTTGTAATGGGTCTCTTTTGAGTCAAATCAATGACAGTTTTTACTCGTCAAGGACATCTATTACACTGCTGCATTCCTTCACTCTTTTCATTGTAAGTGGACAGCTAAGAATTTCGGCTTTTCTTCTTCTTCTAGAGACAGCCAGAGAAGGCAAATAGAGTCATTAGTCAAGAAACTTGGTTAACAGTGAGGTTTTCTTGCAAAAAATAGTTTCCCTAAGGTCTTTATCACTTTATTTCTGAAGAATTTGATCGCGTTGTATCTCCATTTAGTTTATGAATTGACTATGCTTTTTCCGTTTTCTTGAACTACCAATACCTTATCTGCTACACACTTTTTCTCGCATTTTCCAATTTGGTGGACTATCCTGAATACTCTTCTCCCAAAAGCCCTGCTTCGAATTTGCGACTGTTCAAATTTCAATGTTTGACCAAGCCTTTTTCGCTGTCTGCACGTTACAGTAGCGTTCCAATGCTCTGCTTTCGTCGGCTTGCTATTTGGAATTTTTGTTCGCTTGCACAGCTGATGTCATTTTATGAATCTCTAGCATTGGAAATTATTTATGTATTCACAATATTTCGCCCATACTTTGCGCGCTCCATCGATAAACTCGTTTCTCTCATACATGCACTCACTTGTTTTCGCTTGTCAATTCGAGATTTCACACGCTTGTACCAGTATAAAATTACTTATCACGGCGCTCAGTCCTTTAATTCGATATGATTTCAGGCGCAAATGTTCGAATACGATAGATTGGCACTGGATGTGCTGAGCCTATCGCCAAAACAAGATCAGGTGAGAACTGGTCCTCTAGTGCTTTAAATAGTTATTTTCTCTCAAAGAGCGGGTCTAGCTGTCGGCTACACCATGTTCACGCTTTTCTCGTTGTCCGAATAAATTTCTTCTACAAATGCACAAAAATCCAAGCCCATTTCCTGCACACTGAATCAGCAGCTAAAATTGAATTTTGTGCATTTGTTCAAAAGCGGTGCACCCTAGGTGCAAACTTGCACGCGATATTACTAATAAATAAAAATTCAGACTCTTGGCAATTTATCTTGGTGCGAAAAAAATGTCAGCAACTACAGCATACTGTATCAAGCTTAGAACATCAGCACTCCATTTGCTTACTAAATTATCTCAAATTTGTTTTTTACATGCTTTTACATTAAAGGTTGCATTGTAGTTTTGCTATTTCGCACAAGAAGATGTTGCATAAGCATTTCATTATACGCATTCTAGACTAATCTGTAAATTATATCAAATTTGATCTAAATCTGTTTCACCCTAAGTAATACCCTATGGAGCGGACAGTAGTCTACATAGTACATAAAAACTAAGTAATCTGCTTCCCGTACGGAAGACCTTTAAGCTGGTTTTTGTCCCACTCCAGTGATTTACTGCGTAAGTTTAGTTGAAAGGGAGCTCACACTTTTATCAAAATAAAGGTGATGAAGGGACCCATCAAATTTACGGGTAATTGTGCCCTTCTTAAGACAGTCTAGCGCAGTTTTAGTGGTAAGCAAGGCAAATCAACTTCTCGTCCAGTAATTTTCTGAGTTTCTACTTCTATATTATCTTAAACGTTCAAGTTTGGATGTTTTCATGCTACTTGCTTTCAACGAACGAAAAACAGAATACTTCTAGCTACAATTTTTAATTGCTGGACGTTTGAGCTTTTGCACAAACCAAGAAGAAAGAGAAGCAATGAAGGAAAAGTGTTTGCTCTCATCTTCCCCATATTTGAAAATGGCGCTTCTAGAAAACATGCTCAAGTCTTTTTGTTTGGTATCTGGCGCAAAACCTCAAAATCTTATAGTTGCAGGCACGACAGTGGATCTCATCGTCGGCACAGTTGATTCCGTCTGATGACTGCGGATCATCATCCGGTTATGGCTCACCGGGTCGCACTCCTTTGGCAAGTCCTCAAGGAGCAGAACCTTTTGGAGGTATGAACATGCGAATGATTTTATCTCACTTCTTCAAAGCATTTTGAATTTCTCGTAGATAGTCCTTCAAAGCGCAAAATGCTTGCAGTGGAAATAGATTTTTGACAAGCTCGCATAATTTTTGACACACATCAATCATTCCGAATTTTTTTCCGGTGTACGTTCATTTTTCAAGTCTACAAATTCTATTGTCATCGGGCAGAAAAGTCGTACTAACATTTGCAGGACTGTCACTTCCAGTGCACATTCAACGAGCTTTTTCGGATGGGATTGTGAGCGCCGAAGAGACGTCTCCACATCTCGGAGTAGGCTTAGCGTCGCCGGATCCGACTAGGCCAAAACTTACGGTAAGCATTGCAGCCATAGATTTTTCTTTTCCTACATCGTCCCCATTGAGTGATCTAAGGAGTGTACTTGCTAAGTTTTGCAGCTGTAGTTGTATATCACAAAAGTTCAAAATTTGAACTTCACGGGCTTGTCCATCATGTCAAACAGATTTCTCAAAAATTAGATTAAGCATTTGAACTAGCTCTTTCGGATTCGAAATACTTGTATATGTTATACTCGCCGCTTTATATTACATCCTGAATTTTTACAACTCAAAATCTAAATTGCTTTGCTGTGCTTAATATGAAACGCTGTCTGTTCAGTCATTTTTTGTACCTTAAAGGCAGCGTCCAGGCAGATCTGGCCTATGGGTCTTTTACGTGGAAAGTACTTTTGGGCACTGCCCAGGCGGCAGCTCAGGTGGTGCTCTAATGGCTGAGATATTCCCCTCGAAACTGGCCCCCGCGAACGTATTCGCATGGATTCATGGCAGTTTCGCGCCAGGATCCACGCTTTGCGCCATATCCATGCGAAACACAGTCGCGAGGTCCAGTTTCGGGGGAATATCTCAGGCGTTGGGACACTGCCTGAGCTGCCGGTTGGGCAGTGGCTTGGTTGGGGCCCCAAAAGTACTTTCCACGTAAAATCCCCATAGGTCCAGACTTGCCTGGACGCTGCCTTTAATGTTTTGTTCCCTTTCTTCTCAGACCTGTACTACTGTAGTCCGCAGTTTATCAAGTACAAATACGAAAAAAAACTCAGATGGAATGCTTCCCCTATCGTAGGGCACTAAAAGACGAGTTATCCTTCTGGATTATTATTAATTTCTTGCAAGATAAAAAACTGATTTCTATCACTAAATCGAATTATGACCATTCCTTTTGCGTACTTCTTAGTTCATTGTAGATGTCTTTTTTTGTAAAAGTGAAACGTTGGCGAATCGTTAGCGCTGTGTATAGCTGTGCCAAGCTCGAGTTATACCTCTGTTTCACTGGAGTTGATTGCTGGAGGGCGGGGCTTTGGTTGATTAGAGAGCACGTATGCGAGGGAGATGGAAGGCCTGTTCTCTCACGCTTACAAGCTCTCTAATCGATCTAAGCCCCGCCCTTCAGCCACCAACTGAAAAGGAGGGTATCTTGTGAATGTTTGCAATCAAGTGCAAAAAATGGGAAATCCACTTGGTACGCAAAAGTTGCTTCATGACCTCGACCTATTCTCATGAGCAAAGAACGTTTTTCTATACTTGCGCGCTGATTGTCAACTTACAGAATTCATCTTTATTCTTAGTCTGCCACAACGCTGTTTCATACCTTTGCCTGAAGTAAGATGACATCAGTCCTAGCCTGCGTCCGCCTTTTGAGTTTCACACATGGCCTTCTGTTTATCACCTACATGAGTCTCGCGATGTAATTTCTCGGTCACAGCACGTGATTCACTCCCAAGGCAGCGATATTTTCGATTCGATGTGTCGCTTGTCATGAATGTCCTTTTCGGTAGTCTTCGGTTGTATTAGTCATTGTTATTAGCGCTACGAAAATCACATGGCAAGGTCGAGTTGTATAAGGGATCGATCGCGAAAAAAATAGTAAATTGCAAAAATCAGTAGCAGCAGAAATTTTTGAAAGAGTTTGAAATTACACAAAGTTTGTTCATCTCAACACGTTTGGCTTTTGTACCAAAATTCCATATCATTTTGATGGAAATGCAATGTGAACTGAAAGAGCTGGTTCTGCTTTTCAGTTGTGATAATCAGTAAGATAAATAACTTGAAGTATTTTTATTGAAAACCTTCTGACTGAAGTCTTTCTTTCCAGGAGAGCGCATCTGTTCCTCTTGCGTTAGAGGACGGTTTTAGCAAGGACGAAATTGCTGGCTTTGAGGAGCTCTTGTGCTCTCCGAAAAAAGCTCCACCGACTAAATACCAGTGTCATATCTGTTATCGAACTGGCCATTACATCTCAGATTGCCCTATGGTGAGTGAATGTTTATCTCAGTGAAAGATACAAAAAGATCAAAATGTGTCTGTTTAGCGCTTTAACACACCGTATGATGAGCTGACACCATATCAAGGTCGAAAGAAATGCTATGGAGAATTCCAGGTACGGCGGATTGTTTTTGGCTAAAAACACTGAATTTCAAATCTGCTTATCCTATGTATCCTATAATTTTGATCTTAATTTTTTTCTAAAAGAAAACTCAATGTACACGAGAAAACTTGCTGTCCTTCTTTAGTGTCAACAGTGCAAGCGTAAATGGACAAGTCAGAATTCTGTAGCAAATGAAGCTCAATCATGCATTAAATGTCATATTCCGGTGTTTCCGCACAAACAGGTAACTACATCGTATATGTTTTCAAAGCTTTTCATGTGTTGAAGCTCTTGCTTTGGCCGCGTCCACAATTGACTGTGTGGCCGCCGTGCCAGCGCCGTGCCAGCGCCGTTTCAGCAGACGTGTTAGCGCTGTGTGGGCCCACGGGTCACACGGCATCGATCTCAACCGGCATTCGCCGACACAGTTCTAGCACGGCGCTAGCACGGCGCTGGAACGGGTAGCTTAGGCGCAGGCTTTGTGATGAAGTAAATTGAATCAGCAGTGCAAGGCTGAATGTTGATATTTTAGCTTCCCGTCGAGAAAGCTGTAGCGATGGGTCTGATCAAAGCACAGCACGCGATTCCTTCGAAAATCGCGCCCATCGGCCATGGTCGCCCACCTGCGAAGTGCTGAAGCATCGTAGTCAGCTCACCTGAGCATCTAATCAACACCATGTGCAGCTAAAAATTTTAGTGGTGTTTTGCCGCTCTACACACTGTTTCGTAAATCTGAAATTGAGCGAGCTTCTCCCATCACAAGTCTCCCTAACACCACTGTCTATCTGTATAATTGTGTCCTTTCTGCAGTTTACGATCATCCGGTTTTGACCCCTAAGAATTTTCTTTTTTGTACACAACGTAAATGGATACGATGATGATATGTTTTTTGTACTGTGTTGTATTTACTAGACGTCTAGTCCTCTAGAGTACCTTACATCCGTACGAGTTTTGTGTTATATTGGCTTTGGAAGCTCTTGTTTTTTATTGATTGATTGATGATTGTGTTGTTGTTTATCTAGGTTGCAGTAGGATTCCGTTTATGTATCCATATTGCTGTTCGAAATGGTCAGTTATAGCCCGCTCAAATCGTATCTGTTTTTGTACTTCGTTGGGAAAATTCTATATTGATGACGTCATCGACGCGATGATATGTTAGCACCCAAGAGCTTCCGCCACTGTCATTCTCTCTCAAACACGTTCATAATCGCAGGGCTACGTTTCTGTATACGGTAGATATGACAGCCGCGCGCGAGATTATGAAGCTTTCTTTTTTTGTTCACAGTAATTTTCTAAATTGTGCTGGATAGGCTGCGTTCGGAGTTGCCTGTCATACCTGCGCCGAGCCGGCACCATGCTTCAGCAGTGCCGAATCCACTCGGGACCACCGCGTATTGATCAATCGGCACTGTTGCGGCACGTTGCTGGAACGGCGTTGACACAGGTACTGTACGCAGCCATAGCCTCCACATTCTGTATAGATTTCCGCCCACATCCGGTGCACCCGTAGCGTTCGTGTGTCTAGATTTAGCAGGCAGCGTTCGTGATTGTACAGTCAGCACCAGTTTATTATCCTACATTTTCTTCTCTTTATTCTCTGTAATAACTTGTCGTCCAAAGTCCCGTTGACCCACTACGGTTTTTTTGTGAGTACATAGTGTGTGTGCGCGCGGCTAACCTCTTTGGAGTTACATATTGATATGTTCCGTTGTAATAAAGATTGTTAAGAGAATGTTCGTTCAGCAGAGATCAATCAGTATGTTATTTATGGCCAGTGTAGCTTCGCAAAGTGATAATCAAAGATATATACAGTATGAGGAATGTGAGATTAAACAGTTTGAAACTTAATTTTTAATCTTCTTTCAAAGGCAGCATCCACGCAAAATTCGCTTCCCATTTTTTTGCCACACCGGGGCCTTTCCGTGGCCCTGATTACAGTTATGAAGTTCAAATCGTCCAAAACCACCAAAAAACGCGGTTTTTGAGGCCCCGTTCTGTGGGCGCCGACGATTTTCAGTACATGGGTGGGCGGGGCTTGATAAGATCTGGGCGGAGCTTGATAGCATTTTGGCTGTTCAAGGCCCATTATCTCCGTTCAGAGACCTAGAGAGCCGGACTAACGCAGATGCCCCTCTCTTGGGGCCCACATTCAGGGTCGATACTAAGCGGAGGGAGTTAGATTTAGCCTGGACAATTTCAATGTCTTCTTATCCAGTAATTCAATAAATTATGTGGTGTTACGGAAATATTGCGAGCAAGAGAAAGGGTATTAGGCTGAAAATCAATCAAAGTAGAAGAGGACGGAAGTTTGCCTGCTCAGGGATTCGCGCCGTGCGAGCGATCCTCCTGATAGGGCTAGCGTACAAGCGGTCGAAGCCTAAAGCCTCCGTGCGTGCGGCAAACAACTGAAGCGCCGTCTTAGCGGCAGGCAATGTTACCGTGCAAACGGCATGCTTTTGCCTCCGATATTCTACGGCAAAACCTCTGTTTTGCATTTCGCAACACTAAGAAAGATACGGGGGGGGGGGGTGAAGGTTCATTCGTCAGCTTTACGTACAATCAAGTGGAGGACGTTCTCCAGACAAACCAACAACTGAGAAACAAAACAGATGCTACCGATCAAGAATTAGTTAATGGTACGCACGACCGAAACTACAATGTACAGAAGCCTCGCAAGCGCTGGAATACATCAATATGAACGAACTGTTTACAACACTATTACTCAGATTCACTACTCTCCTACAAGCTACTTGCTAACATTGAGAAAAAATAGTCAGTGTCCTCAAAGACAATGATCATCACTAACAGAAACCATAATATGCCAGGAACCACGAGAAATCGTCACTAAAATTCTCATAAATGTACTATGGAATGACGAAAACATTCCTACAAACGTACAAAAGAATTCAAAACTATTGCAGACTGTGCTCGCTTAGAAATCAATTACAACACCCGGCTGATACTACACTCTCTACGTAAATCCAGAAATATGAGTATGAGAAGATAATCGCGGGTAACGATTCATTGGACTGACGACTGGTTGCCCATAACGAGTGCAATTCTGTCCATCTCGAATGCGAAACAACCCTGTTTAAGGTGAAGTCGTGGGATATGTCTGCGTGTCATCTCCATCCGCCACCACTGACGTTGGTTCCACGGACCTGCGAAAGACTGAAATTTCTACCCTGGTCCTTTAAGGACCTTAATTAGAGTCCGTAGTAGCTGAGCGACCTCGACAAGGGTGGGCGGGTGGGCCCTCAGCTGACGAAAGACCGGAATGGTCATCCAAGGGCCAAGCACGCGTCTTGGCTCAAGCTCCGCCCCTCCGAACGCGTGCTTGGCCAATTGCCAAGCGCGTTGCGAAACTGCAAAACTCCATTTTTGCCTCCGATATTCTACGGCAAAACCTCTGTTTTGCATTTCGCAACACTAAGAAAGATACGGAACATTAAAGCCCGGGGGTTGAATCCGGGGGCGTACGTAGAAGCCCGAGACAAGAGAGTTACTAAAGTCGATTTAGCAAATCATCTGCTTTACACTGACTCCCTCGCTAGAAACTTAAGAGCGGACGTACAGAAAGAAAAAATATGACCAAAATAAGCGTCACAGCACATACGGGCTGCGCCGTATACGTGCCCACGTCCATCCAGCGCGTGGCCGATCGCAGCAGACAATTACATGAAACTGGTTTTGCACCGAAGCTCTTGATGTACCCCTTATTCAACCCTAAAAACCAAGCTTGTATATCAAAAAAATTACCTAAACAGTGTTGAACATTCTGAAAATTTCTAGCGCTGTTGTAAAGTTCACAACGTACTCAAATGCCCAAAGCGATCGCTGACCGATGCCAGCATGGAAGGGCAACAAGGTCACTTTGCCTACAGCCTGTGAGTTTAGCAGAAACCGAACCACTGAATACGACCTCATTGATGTCCCAAGGCCATGAAGTGGTTGAAGTGGAGGATACCTGTTGCATCTGGTCTATGTGGTATGAAAATCTTCCCCGAAACTGCCTACGACCCTTTCCAGTCCGAAAATGAGTAGACATCGATATAGCCATCCATTGCGAACTCCCTCGGCATCCAAACACTAACCTCGTCCAAAAGATATCAGGACATACATTTTCATTCTTGATGCGAAGGGCAAGCGAGGGATCTCATTCTGCCGAACATTTTGCGACCAACTTCGCATATGGCAGTGAATCTTTGTGATTCAAAGTAAAAATCAGCGTATCGACGCTTGTGAGCGTGTAAAATTCTTTTCCTCAAATATTCGTTAGTCCCTATGAAACGATGTTCAACCATATTCCACAAAAGATCATTCATAGCTGAGAGAAGTAACGTAACTTCTGCTCCATAAACATCTAATGGGCTTTCCCATTTGTATCGAAGGGAAGATCTTTGATCACGGCAACTGCATTACCTTAATTTTCGCTTACGATTAATTAGAACAAAGAAGCTCCAGCCCGCAAGAGGCTCTATACCTCAATAGTCACCTTTTAATCAAGAGAAAACTCAAACCTGCTGCTTGAGTGGACAAGAACTGCGTCAGGATATAAACCTGTTTAAGATCACCTATCCAATAGGACCACGTCTGGCACAGGAAGAGGTCACCTCGCACCTCAAAGAATATGCCAACCTGTCGGCAAACCAATTCCAACTAAGAATAGCCACCAAACCCGAGCCAGCAGATCGACAAAGTGGCATATTAGACCGCATCAAGAAAAAAACTACCCATAGTTCTCGATTCTGCAAAAATCGGCGTTCTACAAAGTAGGCTACTGCCAACTGGAGAAGCTTTCTCAACTTCTGGAACGAGTACCATTCATCCTCCGCAAGCGGCGCAGGAATCTGCCTCGATATGACAAGAAATCACTCTACAAGAAAACCGATACGGTAGCACTGTTCTAATATCAGCCCGGCGGCAGACAACCCGTAATGACTTTTCAATCTGAATGATATACAGGTTAACTTCTCGACTCGGCTTTGAAACACACCTAGTCAGCGGTGAACTCGTATCAATGCTCTTATCCTGGCAGCTGTATGCACTCCTACTTTGAAGCGGATAATGTCACCATTCTTATGGAATCTAGCGAATCTACAGCCGAATATCTGGAACGTGACCTAATAACTTATTAGGTCATGGAAGCCGGTGTCACTACCATTATACTCTGCTTGTTCAAACAGACTGAAACATTTCTGAAAGGAAGCAGTCGAAATAGAACCTAGTCTCAAAAACAGTACTGAATCACTAATAGGCATGTGAGCTGATATGTTACTGTTAATTCTGATAGGATTCCGCCACGCAATTTGCTATGAAATGTATAAGCCTAGCGAACTCTCTGGAGCGAGATACAGCATCACCATATGCACGGAAGCCGCTTTAACTTCTACACTTAGCTTCTGGAAACGGTATCCAGGAATCCTCGGCTCAGAAGCCGGCAAAAAGGGAGCTCAACGCATGCCCGGGAAGCGAGCACCAATCACTTACTCGGCTAATCACTACTCGGCACGGGAGCCGGCTTATATGTTTGGCTCTGGAACAGGATCCAGCAGCACTCTTCAGCATAGGAGCTGGTATACCACGATTAGACGTAGACCTCATAACTAAAGTCGATCATATTGGCTCGAGAACCGTCGTATGATCCTTAAGTTTAAGGAGTTCAGCTGTTTAAGAGCCAGTACATTGGTAGCGGCTCAATATTTAGAACTGGTACGAATTTGGCCGAAATTCAATTAAGCCTCTAGTTCACTTTACGTCATTTACAGATCCCGCCTCTAATGCAAGCATTGTCACCACTACACCGCTGCGCCACCCTAATACCATAACGCAGCCCGATATCAAAAAATGCCGAGAAAAGGATTGGAACTCAAACCTCGGAAGTTATGATCCCAACCACTTCCCACTCACGCCGTCACTGGAGTAATCAACATTTATGCTTCAGAGACAGCCCTAGCATGACTGCAGTCGCCTCACAAGATCAGCTATTTTCAAATATAGTAGGCCAACCATGAGTTCTTAACTTGCTGCCCCGGCATACCCACGCAATTGCAACTATATGCAAACAAAACTGAGATTGGAAGGGAGTGCAGGGGCTCAGCCGATAATCTGTTGAATGAGCAAAGGGACCCGTAATTTTGAGGCTGCCACATCAATTGTCATATGACACAACGAAGACTAGATAGATCCAAATGCCAATGAACTGCTGCTAAGTGCTATACCGCTCGGCTCCTTATATGCATATACCAAAGTGCTATCCTACCCGAGCTCACTCTGAAATCAAGTACTCCTCTCCGAGAAGGACAACACAACAAGGTCACGATTCTAACTAGAGGAAAGTTGGGCCAGTATAAGGTCAAATCCCATGATCTTAATAGATTTACCTACCG